CATCAATAACAATTTGTGTTTCGGGATATTTTTAGTTTTTCATGTAACTACCAAATTCAGCAATACTAAATGCACCAGACTTATATTAAAAAATATTTATTGATTTTTTTTTAAATAATAAAGAAATTTTTCAATATTTCTCTTATCCATAAGATTTCACTTTTGTTTTTATACAACGCCACATACTCAGCTGCTGTCGAAGATTTTTTTACACTTCCATATTACTTAGATTTCCAATATATTGCATTATTAAACAGATGAATAATGTAACCAGTAGTTGATTTTCTATTAACTGTATCACCTGCCCAGTCTGCATTCACAGAACAAGTCAAGATGTTTACTTTGAAATTTCTTTTATACGTTAATTTGATATCTTTTGTTGAATACAAATATTTGAAAATTCTTATTGCATATTTGTAATGAGTTTGATTTGGACAGTTTCGAAATCTACTTAAATACTTTAAGCTATAACTCATATCTAGTCTTGTTTCTAAGCTTATATATAGAGTGCTCCTATCAAATTTTTTTAGTTTTTAAATTCAGATGCTGACTGTGTGGGCTCACATTTTAAGTTTTGCTCCATTGAAGTTTCATATAATTATGCGTTTTTTACATCATATTTTTCTGCTGAAGATTTTGTATTTCGTTCCTTATTGAATGTCATTATACCACTTACACGATCCTAATCAATATTTATAAGTCTTTTATCTTAAATTTATTTGTTAATGCCCTTTTAGTTTCGTGAATTTTATTTGACTTTCACTACATATTATTAAGTATCCACAAAGATCATTACATAAAGTAAATAATAATCATCTTGTGTATAACATAAACAAGAATCATTCTCGGTTTTTTCGAAATTTAATTTTCTTAAATATGTATCAAAACACTCATACCACGCTCTAGAGCTCTCTCTCTCTCTCAAACCATACAATGCCTTTTATAAACTGCATACTCTACCTGTTCATCACAGTAACCTTCTGGTTGTTTAACATATTGTTTCATAGGATTAAGCTTGTAAAGAGGTGCGTCACGAAAAGAACTCAACTCGTTGGTCAATTATTTATTAGCTTCTTGAAGGCAGAGGCGTGTGTGTGGTTCGCGCGGTGTTTTTTACTTATCGTTCAGTCTCTTGCCTAAAAGACGATCGAGTGCCTCAATTTGTGATTCACAGGGCCTTATTTAAGCTCGTTCCCCCTATTGGTGTCCTTTACTAGCGTAGGCTTGTCGTTACTAGGGTGAGTCAGTATGATATGCGCAGCATATCATACGTAACAATATACTTAAGATTGTACATTCCTATTAAAAAAAGCTAATAACACATTTGTTTAATTAATAATTTTATTATTCCGTAAACAATGAGCCAATAAAATTTTGAAAATTTGTGTTTTTTCTACAGGTGAATGGATGTCATGCACTTTTTTTTTTGTTCAAAACCTCTTACAACTAATCTAGCTTTGTATATACTATTCGATTTTTCGGTATACACCCATTCTAAATTGATAATTTTTTTATCTTCTGGTCTATGTACTAATTTATAAGTTTTACGTTTGATAATGCTGTTTATATCCTTGTTCGCAACTTATTTTCAATTAACACACTCTCTATCGCTTATTGCTTCATTATAATTTTACGGAGTGTTTGCATTAATGTAATTTACGTCAATAAATGTTGAATAGTTTTCCGGCTCATACCTTTCTGATTCCTTACGCTTTCTACTTGACCTTCTTATTGTACTATTATTTTTATGTGTAGTTTCATAAATCTTATTAGTTTGAATATTTTCTTAAAAAAAAAAATCATTATCGCTACTATCATTATGATCATTTTCTTTACCATGAAAATTTTCACTTTCGTTACCATTCAAACCTACTAATTTAACATCCTCCTCTTCAATATCAACATGTCTAGCAATTACGATTTTATTATTAATGAGTACTCTATAACCAACACTTTCATACCGTACTAATATTCCTACTTCTGTCTTTTTATCCCATTTATTATTTTTTTTTGACCTCTGGCACCTGACAAATATTTTACTTCCATACAATTTTTTATAATTTAAAATTGGCTTAACTTCCATCATAATTACATATGTAGTTTTCCTTTCAAAAATTTTCCCATGGACGTTTGGGATATTCCCAGTGGTGCTCTCAGAATTTAGCTGGAGAATGTGCACATCCAGCACATACGATACATACCTTAGCAATGCCCTTGATGTCGGCGTCAATGCCAGGCCAGTAAACGAATGACCTGGTCAAGCCCTTCATTTTTACCATTCCAATGTGGGCTGCATGTAAGTCTTCCAGGATAGTTTGGCAAAGAGTAGGTGGTACAAACACTCTATGTTCCAGTAGCAGGCAATTGGCACTGGAAGTTGGAAAAGCTGGTTTACTATGAACTGGTCAAATTCATCGAGTTCCACCATTTCTTCCTCCTCTTGAGCAGAGATTGAGTTTACGTGATTTTCCGTTGCAACTGGAGGCAATCTTGAACAAAAACCAGCATTGGCATTCGACTTTGTTGGTTTGAACTTAACCGTATAATTAAAGTGAGCCAGATAATCAGCGTAATTTGTCATCCTGCAGATGCACAACACTGGAAGAGATTTCTTTGGATGCAAAATCTGAGTCAGTGGTTTGTGATCAGTAATGAGATAAAAATGCCTTGCATGTAGATATCTAAAAAAAAATTTTGACCGCCTAAACGATGGCTAAGGCCTCCTTGTCGATTTGGGGGTACTTTTGCTCCCTTGTGGTCATGGTACGTACAGCAAATTCAATCGGTCGCTCGGTCCCATCATCGAGCCGGTGCGATAAGACAGGTCCAAGTCCGACCTTGCTCGCATCTGTAGCTAGGACCAGAGGCACTGCTGGGTCATAGGGCATCAAAACCTGTGGAGAAACTAAAATGTTTTTTAGTTCCAGGTAAACCTTCCTCGCATCAGAAATCCATTGAAATGACTCTCTCAGGAGCATATCACGGAGTGGACGAGCTCTTGTAGCAAGATCAGGTATGAAGGCGCTGTAGTAAGTTGCCTTCCCAATGAAGAGCTCTTAATCTTAAGGTGTAGTAGGCTCAGGTGCATTTAAAATTGCATGGATGTGCTTATCTGACTTATGTATACCAGACGCATCAATTTTGTGACCCAGAAACTCAATGGCAGGTGCAGCAAATGTCCACTTAGATCGGTTCAAGCGAAGCCTACTCTTGTATAACCTGGTCAGCACTACATCCATAGTTTGAAGTAAACTGTCGAGTGAATCAGCAAAAAGCACGAGATCATCAAAAAAGTTGAGCACTCCTGGGATATCCTTGATGAGTGACTCAATTTTGCGTTGCCAAATTGCTGGAATGTTTGCTGCGCCGTGGACTGCTGTGCTCGGACGTATGAGACCGTGGGTTGGCGTGTTCAGTGTTAACGCCTCACTAAATTTTTCATCTACTGTTAAGGCAGTATATGCGTCTGTAATGTCTAAATGGCAGAATACTTTTGCCCCATGCATCTTGTTAAAAATATCTTCCTGTCTTGGAATAGGATGCTCATCAATAACAATTCTTGAATTGAGTGTAGACTTGTAGTTGCCTGTGATGCGTATCTTACCATTTTTTCTCATGACTACGTGAGTTTTCGAGGCCCACTCGAAGTGATCGATGCGTATGCAATGTCCTGATGCAATTTTTTTGTCAATTTCCTTTGCATAAGCATCCTTCAGAGCGTAGGGAATTTCTCTGGCTCTTGCAAAAACCAGTGTCACTCCTGGTTTTAGATGCATCGTTACTGGGGGGTCCACCAACTTACCAGCAGACAGGCTGAAAATTTTATCGTGCTTATGCAGCAGCTCTTCCAACCGCGCTGTCTGCTCCTTGGATAACTCCAGCGTTGCAGTTATGAGGTTATGTATCTGGCGTGGAGCGAAAATCTCCTTTCACTGGATCTCGTGAGTGAACTGCACTAACCACTCATGCCTGAACAAGAAGTCATAATTTCCTTCAATGACGTAAAGATCCAGCTGCTTCGTCGTGTTACCCAGTGTCGCACTCACTGTAGCATAGCCCATGCACTTGAGGGAATGGTGCGAGTAACTGGCGAACTGCCTGTTCGTTGGCTTGAGCGAAATCCCTTGCCCGATTGCTTGCATGGTATTGCTGCTGATCAGGCCACACGGTGCGCCGGTGTCGAGCTCCATGTCGACAATCAACCCGTTTGTTTTGACAGGAAGCATCTTCCTTTCGATTGTATTCAGCGTGTGGACTATGTTTGCCAAATTTAGACAAATTAATCTATCCACCTGCATCGGTGGGTCTACTTCCTTTGTAACTTGATGTGTCGTAGACTTTTGTTTTGATTTGCACATTTTTGATATATAGCCTTTCTTTTTACATGTATGGCATACAGCTTCTCGAAACGGGCACTCAGAGCGTTGGTGCTGAGCGCCACAGCCAAAACGTATTTGTTGCGCGCCTTTTTCCTGCAAATTTTGTGCACCTTGTCCTACTTCCTTTGAAATTTTTTTTCTTATTTGTTTTCTAATTATGATTTTGCTTCTGTGTTGATGCAAGCAGGGAGTTGGCTTGTTCGACCTGTGCATCTCGTGACTTTACCTCTTTGACCGTAAGGCGTGTCGATACTAGAGCATAAGTTATCTTATATGCGTCTTTGAACGTTCGAATCTTCTTTGCGATTAACTCGTCACACATATCACGAAATGTTAAACCATGCATCAGCTGCTCGATCAGCATACGATCGAGAAACTCGCTTAATCGCAATACGACGTTCCCTGACGCAAACGAAGAGCAAAGCTAGCCACTGTTTCATCTTTACGCTGAATACTGTGACGAAACTTTACACTCTCGGCGTATTTATTTTTCTCGTGGTCGAAGTGTTTTGTCAGTGCCGTCGTAATTTCGGCGAATGTGCACTCCTTAGGGGTCTTCGGGACAACCAATGACTTCAGAGCATCGTTCAGCTCTGTCCCCATGTGCACCCGTGCGTAGTTTGCATGCAGATTCTCTGGCACTTTACTTAAGTCTAAAGCCCATCGAAAACGCGTGAAATAATCCGACACCGACGTGCCGTCTGATGCACGGAACGGTTGGAAAGAAAATGGCGGTGGCCGTGAGCTTGTATCTCGCTCTTGCCCTGAGGTGGCAGCGGCCGAAAAGGCTGACACTGCAGCCCTTAAAGCACTTGCTAATGCTTGCGCGATCGCTTCTTGCACCTCTGGCGTAATGGTGGCCATCTTGATCACTCTCGCTCGTTTTCTTTGTATACTACCTCTTCCTCTCCTTGCGGAACGTATGCACTCGAACTTTTGACACCAATTTATTATGTATGGGGCAAATAAATTAGGCAAACACACTTGTAGAATTAAGTTTAGGTCCTTTATCATTTACATTGTATAAAGAGTTAAAAGTGGATTTGGAAGAGTAGCAACTGAGAGAGTAAACGTAATGAGTGCCGTGTAGTAGTCGGCTTGAATCTCTCAGTAGAACTAACGTAAGGCTAGGTAATTTCGAAAAAGCAAATAGTAGTGGAAGCGCTACCTCGCGGAATGTATATAAAATATAAGTAGAACAAACATAATACACAACATTTACCTTCATGGATCGTTTAAGTTTAGAAACATTATGAAATAGATTTTTTTTTTACTCTCTTGTTGTGGATCATAGTTGTCTATGCTCTGCTGTGAAGCATGTTCCAAAGGTTGTAATATGGTTGATTCTTTTGGAATTTCATTGTTTTTCCTTTACTCTTGCACCTAAAAATAAATAATCGTAACTAATTATGAACATAAATAATTAAATTTTATGACACTTCTTGTTTTAAAAATTTTGACCTTAATCCTAAATTGTAGAAGACAGATTTTATTTTATTTGTTAATTCTTTAATCAGTCTATTCTGGTTCTGGTAATAGATGTTGTTAAGTAAGAAATGGATCGTTTTTGTTGGGTATGATCAAGTACTTGCATTTCATCCGTTGTATGAGTACGTTACTTTTCATCTGTTGTACAAGTACTTTTTTCTCTGACAACAGTTGTTGTGGAAAAGCTTGTATGACTAGTGGATGTTGTAGTAACCCTGACTACAACACTTGATATTTAATCTTACATAAATTTAAGTTTAAGAAATTCATGACTAATCCTTAAATATATTGACCTTTTAAGGTACCTTTGATAAAAACCTTTATTGTAGTCACCATTGGAACAGCATATAATCTACCACAACCATCAGAAATCAAAAAGATAATATTTTTGTTATAACTACTGGATAGCTTTTATTCTTCAGATTTATTAGCAAGCAATTAAGTTGAAGATACTTGCGTAACAGGCTCACTCATACTATCTCTTATAGTTAGCTCGTAAGCAGACTGCTCACTATTAGTTGTTTTATTTGAAATACAAATTTTTTTGATCTATGATAATTTCTATCTCCAGCAGACATATATTTTATTTTAAACATATTTAATACAATGGCTGTAGCTTTAACCTCTGTTTTAAATAGCATGTTCACTGCAGCTGATGTTGCAATTAACTGTCTTTTATCTGGCTTTTGAGGCGATGAGTTTGAACAGCATGATAAAAGTAAGAAATTATTATCTTACATGTTGTGAGTTGTTGGTGCTGCAACAGAATGATGATCATTGAGAGATTTTTCAAGTAAAAATACAGCCAGATAATCTAGCAGGAATTTACCAACTGGCTTTTTCTTATTCGTGGTAATGCTTCTCGCACTCAATGTAAAATGTTGGCAAGCTATTTTACACAACCATCACCTATGAGCACGTAGCCAGCTGTGCGTTATAAATGTACAAAAGACGAAAACGATGGTAAACTGTAGGAAGGAGGTGACAACGAGGCGTGTTACTGCATATGCTTGTGTATAACTACGTTACACTGATGATAATAATAAATATATACGAAAAGCCAGGTGGCCACGATAAAAATGTGAGCAGCGAGAAGGCTTTGATAAAAAATATGTACACGTCAAACAGCACACTTACAGTTGTGTTGAGACTGCAGAGCTTAGATCTATAAATGCACACAGAAACATAACGACAGTGCTGTCAACAAAGGAGAGCGTTATCTGGCAAAAGTCCGGCTTTCAACAGTTTGTTGTGTTTGAAAGCAGAGTGGCCTGTGGCGCCACATATAGATAGCCGGCAGCTTATTGGGATGAAGACAGGGATAATCATTGATAAGACAGGGCACTAATTACTTCTAAACATATTTATCTACGTACCTTGCAACTCTCTGGTAGCACAGTTGGTAGCACACCGTACTATCACCCTCAAGATCAAACTCTAATTTTGATGAGGGAAAAATTTATTATTTTAAAATTAATCACACTAGAGAAAAAATAATTTTAAAATCTAAAAAGTATTAAAACTTTCGTCTTTGAATGCCCGCTCATTTAAATCTGGGTACATAACCAAGACAAGCACACAGCAGCCATGGGCGCTATGGGCACAAGAGTGGGGCCAGCCACTGCACAAATACAGTAGCCATGGATGCTACAAACACACCCAATACTTAAAGCCACAATAGTCACGGAAAAGATGGTGGCCTAGTGCCTGTATTAGTGGGGTGGGCTTGAAACAAAGCCAAGGGGTGGCCTAGTACTTTCATGGGCAGGGTGGGATCAGAGCGAGGAGAGGGAAGGGTGTATGTCTGTATAAGTGGGTCGGCCCTGAACTGGCTCTGTTTATCGACTAGCGGCTTTATTTAGAGCTGTCAGATTGAACATTGGTCATAAGAAAAGACACAAAATTCTTTCAACTTTTAATATTTCTGAAAAAAAAAATAAAATAAAAAATACATGTATAAAAAAAACAAATATAGATTTACCTGAAAATTGTGTTTTACTTTCTTTTCAATGAGAGTTCTTCAAAGTTGTCTGTTTCCACACTTGTTCTCTTATTGGGTTGTTATTGGTCGATACTCCTTGCTTCAAATACTAAATGGTCGATGATTTAATGTTACTGCCTGGCAACTATAATTAAATTGGCCTGCAGTTGTAGTTGTGGCCTTTTAAATAAGGTTTCTACTGCAGCATGAGGTAGCTCTACTACAATAATCTAACTCTCACTTGTTTCTTTTAACATGTTAGTTTAAGCCCATTGTCGTTGCCCTTTTATTTTTCTCTGCTAAGTTCTTTATTAATTTTACTATTCTTGCCAGACGATAGGTCAGTGATAGAGATAACATTACATTGCTGGCTTGTTATTTGCAATTACTCTGAATGTAAAGGTGATATTTTATGGTCCCTTAGTGGTATATCAGCATGACTCTTATTTCTTAGACTAGTTAAGTGTAACTCAATACTCTTCAGCTTTCTCTTCTTTTACCACTTCATCTCAACATTTTTTATTTACTTTGTAGTGTCAATAGGGCAATGTGTCAGTGATATTAAAGAAAATGCATGGCTTATCATCACAAGAGCTAAGAGCTATTTTTTTTTCTTCAGTATTGATCTTGTGCAAACGAGATCTTATATTAATTTTCTCTTAATTTGTATGTATGTTTTAGTCGTGCAGGCAATCAATGTAATCAATAAAATTAATAGTAGCTTTAACATCATTAGTCTTCACACCCATCGCTTTTTTATTATGACTTGATTCTAAAGAAGAATGCTGTCTATTCTTCTTTTAAGACCAACTTATCTCGTAACAATATAACCATTACACTGATCCTTCATAAGTCCTACAATTTTCTTATTTTTAAACAACATTTTATACTTATTTTTCGAGAAATAGTTGAATGTTTTTAATTCCTT